TCCACACTCTCTATTGATCCCTCCATCCTCCCAGTACCCCCATCCACACTCTCTATTGATCCCTCCATCCTCCCAGTACCCCACACTCTCTACTGATCCCTCCATCCTCCTAGTAGTCCACACTCTCTATTGATCCCTCCATCCTCCTAGTACCCCACACTCTCTATTGATCCCTCCATCCTCCCAGTACCCCACACTCTCTATTGATCTCTCCATCCTCCCAGTACCCCACACTCTCCAGTGATCCCTCCATCCTCCCAGTACCCCACACTCTCTATTGATCTCTCCATCCTCCCAGAACCCCACTCTCTCTCAAATGATCTCTGCATCTTCCCAAGATCCCAAATCCTCTTTCTCAATTGATCTCTGCCATCTTCCCAGTATCGCATACTATAAATTGTCCTAGCTTGTATCTCTTCTTGCAATAAGCACTGAAACACTGAAGGATATCAGACTGCTGTCTTCTCTTCATGCCCCACTGTTCTTTAAAGTCCAGCTCAAATACTACCTCCTCTGTAAAGCCTTTATTCTCCACCACCACAAAGCTGAGCACTTCCTCTTCCTCTGTTCTCCCTCAGTGGCCTCAAAGACTCCTATAAGCCTAAATGGCAGGGCATGTGCAATTACTCATGTTTGACACCACCACCCACCCCCACACCAAGCTGTCAGCCTCTACAGTGGGAACAGTCTCATCTGTCTCTGAAGACAGATCCCTACCAAAAGCTTGGCACACAGTAGGTGTCTGACAATTGTCTGCTTTAGAGCTCCCTAATCTCACTAGCTCGTGCAGAATGGTGAACAAGATATTCAGATACAGAGGCTCAAAACTGCATTTTTAATCATTTCAGGAGTTAGGGGTACTTATTTGTTTTTAGTTTGGGGGATTGTTTTGTTTTGGAAACAGGGTTTATGTAGCTCTGGCTGACCTGGAACTCACTTTATATACCAAGCTGTCCTCAAATTTACATGATTTTCCTGCCTCCCAAGTCTTGGAATTACAGGCGTACATCACCACATCTGGCATCAGGTTCTTTTAATTATCACCTCAAGACAGCTTTTCTTTGATGATCCAAGAAGAGCATTAACCAGAGCGTTTCTAAATCCTTAAGATAACTAATTTCTTTCCTGACTGTTCTCTTATCCACCCAGATCTCAGCAAGGTCCGTAGCAGCAGCTGCTATCGCAGGGATTCCTTCCTAACTTAATAGACACAGGTGTTTACATAGTGGGCCAGCCTGCTTCACTCCTCCAGGTGTAGGTAAGGCTGTGAGACGCTGGAAATTTCCAGGACACAGAGACCCAAGGGGAAAAACAAACATGAAGCAGGCTGCCGTCTTTGCTCAGTACCACCTTGCTACTCTCTACAGTAGACCAAAGATAAGCCACGACCCAGGGGCTAGCATTTCATTAGACTTGAACAGTCCAGATAATTTCCCTCTCATTTAAAATAGAACCAAAAGCTTTTATTGTTTAAGGGGAAAAAAAAAAAAAAAACAAAAATATACAATTTTTTAAATCACCTTAAAAAAAAAAAAAAAAAAAAAAAAAAAAAAAAAAAAAAAAACGTTTTAAAACCCACACCTATAATGCTAGCACTTAGGAAGCTGAAGCAGGTTGGGGGATTCCAGGACAGCCTGGGCTATTTAGCAAGACCTGGTTTTGAAAACCAGAAATAGCAAAGATGGATAAATGGATGGATGGATGGATGGATGGATGGATGGATGGATGGATAAATAGATGCTTTTCAAACAGGTTTCTGGTCAGGCAGTTTTCACTAACCAAAACTTAACTGCACATTTCTATGCTTAGATTCCATCTATTTCAAAAGAAGAAAATGCTAAAATATGAATGGCTTATTTACTTGCAGGTCAACAAAAACCAGCGTAATCAACAAAGCAAACTCTGCATGCAGCTGTAATGTGCCAATCATTCCACGATCCTTCAGCACATTCAAAAAAAAAAAAAAAAGAAAAAGATAACGTCAAACATGATGATTCTGTTATCCTGCCCCCCCCAAATGTGTACAATTAACCTCAAAGGAAAAAAGTTAACTAGAATAGCAATTTGTGAACGATATTAAGTGTTCGTGAAGCCTTCCCACCATATCATCTTATAACATGTAATTTAGCAATGGCGTAACTTCTACTCCAGGTCCAGAGCCACCTGTGCAGCCAAAAATACCAGCCAGCAATGTGGGAGAGTCAGAATCGTGTCTAGAGATGCCTGGCTGCATGACGAAACCAGGAGTCTGCATCTACTGCTCGTTCCAGGGGCTTATTTTGAGAGGAAGCCCTAGAGATCTGCTTGAGGCTTGATCCGACCACACTGGGGGTGGGGGTGGGGGTGGGGATGGGGATGGGGATGGAGAGGTTAAATAAAGCACCAGAAGGTCTTCTATTTTAATTGCTGATCTCGTTAATTTCCTATCTCGATTACGACAGTGCTGACAGAATGGTATAAAAACCTAGAAAGGCAGCCACCACTCCGACCCTGCGTGTTCGCTGACTAATGGAGAAGACTATAGCTCTCAAGACCCAGGGTGTGGCTACCACCTACAGGGGGAATGGGGTAGGAGCGGATCAGAAAAGACAGCAAAAACATAGCCTTGGAAGATGGGGTGGGCATCAATGGGGACTGAAAGGGGATATGAAAGGATAGGAGTCCACATATGAAGACGGGGGGGGGGCGGGGGGGAGGATCCAGGACTTGGGAGGTCCGCGCGCGTCCGAGGAGGGCTGGGGTTGGGCTGTACCTACCCGTCGAAGCGGACGGTGCCAGTCTGCTGGGTCTGCACACGGTAGTGTTCTAAGAGCAAGCGCACCACCTTGGCGTGCCCGTTGCGGGCTGCGATGATGAGGGGTGTGGAGCGCTGTCCTCCCTGCTGACTGACATAGCCCAGCAGGTAGCGGATATCGCTTTCCGACCGGTTAAGGAGCAAGGCAGCCAGAGTGAGCACCTTGCCCTCGCTGGCCGCCTTGTACACATAGCCAGCCAGGCCCTCCATGGCCGCCGCCAACTCCAACACCCGTTTGGTCGCCACCGCTGCTGCTGCCTTGCGCCCCCGGAGGCCGCGTCCGCCAGCACTTCAGACCCGGGCCCTCACAGCCCATTCAACAGGGCGCCGCCGCCGCCGCCGCGCCCAGGCAGCAGCGCGACCCAGCGAGGGCGGAGACACAGAGGTGGCCGAGCGCCGCCGG